TCCACCCATCCCTTCTCATGCCCTACCTTCCCTCCCTCTCTCTATCTCCCTCACGTTCCTCCCTCCTTCCCTTCCCATCTTCCTTTCCTTCTTCCCCCCCTCACTCTCTATCTCCCTCCCTCCCTCCTTCCCTCCCCCCCTCCTCATCTCTATCTCCCTCCCTTCCTTCTTCCGTCCGTCCCCCGCTCCCTCCTCTCTCTATCTCCCTCCCTTCCTCCCCCTTCTCTCCTATCTTCCCTCCCTCCTCCCTTCCCCCCCCTCTCTCTTCTCCCTCCTTTCCTTCTTCCGTCCGTCCCCCTCCCCCTCCTCTCTCTCTCTATCTCCCTCCCTCCTTCTTCCGTCCATCCCTTCCACTCCCTCCCCTCTCTCTTTATCTCCCTCCTCCCTCCTCTCTCTATCTCCTCCCTCCCTTCCTCTTCCCCTCCCTCCCTTGCCCTTACCTCCCCCCCCTCCTCTCTCTCTCTATCTCCTCCCTTCCACTCCCTCCCCTCCCTCCCTCCCTCCTCACCCCTCTCTCTATCTCCCTCTCTCCTTCCTTCTTCCGTCCCTCCCTCCCTCCCTCCTTCCGTCTCCTCCACCCATCCCTGATCGCCACCGCATTGTTCGCACATCGAGGGGGAAAAAATGACCATTATCCGTTCTGATATTTCCTCAGCCAAGGGTCTCGGAGTCTCAGCCGGAACACCTTGCAACATCATCGGCAGACAATGCACGTCTAAATCCGACCAATGCAACGGAGACCAGTTTAAGACCCACTGATGCTAATTTTTTTTTTCTCGAAGGGGGAACGTATATATATATTTTTTTCGTATGGTCTTTCTCTATATTTTTTTCGTTTTTTTTCGTATCTGGGAAAAGTCTTTTATTTTTCTTCCTCCTCCTGTCCCCTTTTTTCATTTTTTTTTTTTTTTTTTTGGCAATGCAGCCCAACACTTTCTTTGGCTATCTCTCTTTTTTTCCCGAAATGCAAATTGCAGTAGCCACCTGACCTGTCCATCACTTGCATTGCAACTGAGATTTTTTTCCCCCTGTTGGCGAGGGCAAGTGAGGGAGAGAGAGGGAGAAAAAAACACTTACAACCTGCAAGGGAGAGACATGCATTGTCCACTATTTTTTTCCCCTCTGCAATCGTTAGCAAAACCTGCAACTAGCAAGGGGTAAAAAACAAGAGCGGAAAGAAAGGAGAAGAACCGGAGATGGATATAAGTCCTCTCTCCCTCCCCCTTGGACTGGCCTCACAGGTATAAAGCGGACGGAAAGAAGGGGGAAAAAAGAGGGAGGGAGAGAGAGAGGAGAAGAAGGAACTTTTTTTGCTACTGTTTTTACAACCGGACGCTTTTTTCTTACCTATGCAGCCATATTTCTTTCGATTTTTTCTTCTCTCTCTCTTTCGCTCTCCCTTCCCCTTCCCCCTATGCAAGGAGATGGCAAGATGGAAGGTAGCAAATATCTTTTTTTTTTCTCTCTTTCTCTTTCTCTTTTTTGCAAGCTAGGGGATGCAGGGCGATGCAGTGCAACTCTTTTTTCACCCTGAATTGCAAAGGACTTTTTTTTTTAATCCTTTTTTAATCTTTTCTTCTTCTTCGTCCCCTTCCGTCCCCTCGCTCAATCTTATTATTATTTTTTTCTCTCTCTCTCTTCTTTTTGTCCCCCTCGCACCGGGCAACGGCGAAGCGAAAGTGGACCAATGGAACCTGATAAAAAAAAAGAGGAAGAAGAGAGAAAACGAAAAAAAAAGAAAAAGGAGATTTCTCACTTCACCTCCCCTACCCCTCTAACCCCCCCTTTCCCCTATCGATCGTCGAGCTGCACTGCATATTCACATGTCCCTTGTAGGGGATTCTTACACTTGTAAGGTTTTTAGGTCTCTCTCACTCTCTTCTCGTTCTCTCTCTCATCTTCTCTCTCTCTCATCCTCTCTCTCCTCCTCTCTCATCGTCTCTCTCCTCTCTCTCTCTCTCGTCTCTCTCTCATCTCTCTCTCTCTTCTCTCTCTCTCTCTCTCTCTCTCTCTCCTCTCTCATCTCTCTTCTCTCTCTCTCTCTCTCTCTCTCTCTCTCTCTCTGTTAGCTCACCCTTTCTCTCCAATCTCATCTATCCCCCCCTTTCCTCCACTCCCCTTTCGCTCCTAGCTGGGCCATTGTTGTCAGCCTCCG